AAGGCACAAAAAGCGAAAACTCATACTGGGCCGCAATGACTGATTTTCATTGGTGTGGGATGTGTCGTCCTCAGGAAGGTGTGTACTACGAGTCTGTAAGGACGCCCCTCTGGGACATGGAGTGTGGGCTTGGTATCTGCATGTCTGTTGGGTCTGTTGGTTGCCTCCCCCCCCCATTTTCATGCTTTTCTAATACTTCTCTGCAAGAACTGACGAAGACACCATGATGCTGCTTTATATTTTAAAAATACTGTGAGGCCTAGAATCTGCTAGAAGCAGGTATCATATTTTTGTCTGTTAAAAAGTTCATTAGCTGAAGAAGGCTGAGAGATAGGAAGGTCACAAGGTCAAGACCAACCTGGGCAACAGAGCAAGATCCTTTTCCAGAAAGAAAGCAACTCATAAGCAAATCTTATGATGCCAACTTCCATAGTTATGAGTCTTTCACATCATAGAGCCATACAGCAAAGCCCAGTGTTGTCCTTCGGTGGATGCTAATGGTTGGGATAGTCATGACCATTTCACTTGAGGCATGCCATTCACTCTTTTTACCCACCAGACTGCTGGGATCTCCGAAATTGTTTTGTAAATTATTTAAACCTGGAATTCAAGAACAAAACTGCAAGTGTCTATATTCATCTGAAAACAGATGAAGGAAAAAGGAGGTATTAAGTAGATAATATGCATACTTGGCGGTTATAAAAGATGGTGTGGGGGCCAGGAAAGATGGCTCAGCGGTTAAGAGCACCTGCTGCTCTCCCAGAGGACCTGGGTTTGAATCCTGGCACCAACATAGTGGCTCACAATCATCTGTAACTCCAATCCCACATGATCCAGTGTTCTTTTCTGGCCTCTAAGAGCACTGTATTCTTAGACATACGTGCAGGAATAACATCAATAAACAAAAATAAAGGGGAAAAAAAAGATGTGGAGATGATCAGAGCATGCTTTCTGTGATGTGCAAGCGCTTCATGAAGGACTGGGTGGTTCAACTCAAGTGTGTTCTACAAATAAAAACCTAGAAAGCATCGGAGCCGGCAGTGACATGGGCAGCCTGGATTGGCCACGGCATCCCTCCCTACAAGTGTAGCCATGGTGGGAGAATCTTTTGGTTTGCTTGCTTAACTCAGATGCCCTCTTCCTTCTTTTCCCAACACAGAGGTGAATTTGATGGCAAATAAATGTGTCTCCCAGTCAGAAAGGCAGCAAGGAGCTCAGCTCCACAAAGTGGCTTGTGGCGAGGGAAGAACTCCAGTAGTTTGCTTCTTCGTCCTACATAGCAAAGGTCTGGTGCAGAAGCCGGGAGCCTACAAGGCAAGTGCTCATGGGAGAAGCAGCCACTCCTGAAAGTCTGAAAGCGAAGAATCCAAAAAGGAAAAGTACAGCATTAACATTTGAAGAATCCAGGCAGTGGCAGCATACTCCCCTAATCCCAGCACTGGAAAGGCAGAGGCAGGCAGATCTCTGAGTTCAAGGCAAAGCTGGTCTACGTGTAGTTTGTTCCAGGACAGCCAGAGCTACACAGTTGAAATCCTGTCTCAAGTAGTAGGGGGAAAGGAACGTTTGCAATGGCTTAAAAAAAAAAAAAAAGTGTGGATTACTAATTGGGAGACGTCTTAAGCCAGTAGCAGAGGTTGCATAACTTAAACGGTGAGCAAACAAACACCACCCAGAAAACTTCATTCTGTGTTGGGTTTAGTTTTGGTTGTGGTGTGCCTTAGTTAATGAGACTGCACATAGCCATTGCTTTGAAACATGGCGCAGTTCACCGCAGCATTTCGGGTATGATACTGACAAAGTTCACATTGTCTTTCTGGCCCTAGTAGAGCCTCTTCTTAGACTTCCTACACATTTGGGGGGGGGGGATGTGTCTGAAATTAGAAAACCTCGAGACATTTCTGCAAAGGTGTAGAGCTGCTGAAGTTTGAGACGCATGTATAAGGGAAGCCGTGTGCTGAAGGCTGAAGCACTGGCTTTAGAATGGCCGTTTCATTGGGAAGGGAAACAGAAAGGAATACCCAGAGTCTGCAGAGTGTGCTGAATTGGTAATCTGCCGTAATGTTGGATGTGTTACTAATCATCTATCTTTTTAAAATTAGAGTTCCTTTCAGATACGAAGAGAACCATGGACTGTGACCAGCCTTCCTCTACATCAGATGCAATTGCTAGTTCTTCTGTTTGTTTTGCTTTTTTTCCCCAACAGGGTTCCTCTGTGTAGCCCAGGCTGTCCTGGAACTTGCTCTGTAGACCAGGATGGCCTCAAACTGAGACCTAACTACCTCTGCCTCCCAAGTGCAGGGATAAAAGGTGTGTCACCATGCCCAACTGCACTGGCTAGTTCTTATTGTGTGATGTTTTATTTTGCTTTTCAATAATTAACACATTAGAAATAAAACAGGAGAATAGTAAGGTTGAGAATTTATGGCTTCAGAGCACAAGAAGTGTCTCAGGAGCCAGAGGCACTTGCCGCCAAGCCTTAAATCCTGAGTTTGATGTCCTAGACTCACAAGTGGAAAGAGGCAATAACTCTAAAGTTGTTCTCTGATCATGCGCGCACACACGGAGTAACTAAATGTAAAGAAAAAAGCCTAGAATGCATGGTGTGAAACCTGCTCTCAGGGACCATGTACATGGAGTTAGGCTCAAGGCAGAGTAAGGAACATATGAACTGTGCATATTTCTTCATGGAAACAGATGGGAGTCTGTAGTCTTTAAATTCTGCCCAAATGTCTGTGGTGGCGCATGCCTTTAATCCCAGTACTTGGGAGGGAGACGGCAGGCGGACCTCTGAGTTCCAGGACAGCCTGGACTGTTACAGAGAAACTTCATCTCAAAAAAACAAAACGAAATTCTGCCCATGTTGTCTTCTAAGCCAGTTGGTCACAAAATATATATAGTGACTAATATGCTTCTCAGGAATACTGGTCTTAAATATAGGGACTAATATCATGTCAACTCAAAGTGGTAAATCAAGAACTCGCTTTGTCTGTGGACTCGGACATGGCCAAGGAAGAGACAAGCAGACTGCAGCTTCTTTGTTCCAAAGTGGTGGGAGCTGGACTCAACCTCACTACAATGCAAACTACTGCCTGTGCTGGCCTCAGCGGCATGGTGAGAGCAAGGACCGATGCCAACAGAGGGTTAGTGGAGAGCCAGTGAGAAGCAATGCAGGGCTCCCGCAAGCACACCACCTTCCCCGTTGCTAGGCTGCACTCCGCACTGCTAGCCTGCACCAGGACGGCTGCACTGATAAGCCTGTGCCTGGTGTCATTACCTCTGATGGCCCTGGCGTCCCATCAGGCGTCAGTCTCTGCGCTGAGCAGTCTAAGGTGTGATGGCCTACCATTGCGTTGTTACTGCAGCTTTCGCTGCCCTGCAGTGCTTGAGCCTTGCTCCTATGCATCTCCCAACCCCAACTCTCGTTGCCCTGTGTAGAATGTCAGATTTGCAGTCATGTGTAGTATGTGGTGGTTTCACACTGACTTTTAAAACCCAGTGACAGGAATAGAAGGACCCTTTCTGCACGTTTCTTCTCAGTACTGAGTTTTCTACTGTCAGGATGCACCAGTCGCCAACTGAAGATTGCCACCAACTGGAAGCTTTGTCAGTTGTGGATGAGACTGCTATAAATATCAAGGTACGGAGTTTTGTGTGGCCATAATTTTCTGCTCACCTGATGACATACTAAAGCTAAGAATTGTTTTCTAGGAAATTGCCAAATGGTTTTTACCAAAGACGCTGTGTTGTTTTTGCATTCCTGTTTGTGACAGATCAGGGTCTCCTGGCCCCGCATCCCTGTCCACACTTGGCACCGTCTGCTGTTTTGACTGATGAACACCTTCATACACCTTGTGTGTGTCTTTGGCGACATGTCTGAGCCCCTGGCCGTGGTTTTAGTTAGGCTCCATTGCCTTACTGTTGAGGTTTAAAAGGTGTGTGTTTTAGGTTAAGTTCTTTATCAGCTGTGTCTTTTACAGTTCCTCCCAACTGCTTTTTCTGCATTGAATTTTTTCTACTTTTAAAGGAGCACTATGTTTGCATTACTTCAGTTTCTCATCTATAGCAAGGTATTTAAACTTAGAAACCTACAAAGCCTAGTTTCACCCTTTGAATTGCTTGCTGTTAACTGCTCAATTGTAATTTTTTTTGACACATTATTGGAGATTATTGGGCATTTGGTTTTGTTTTTCTAGACAAGGTCTCACTCTGTAGCGCAGACTGGCCCACCTCAGCCTCCCCCATGGTGCACGGTTTGTGGCCCTGTGCAGGATTTTGTTTTGAGACAAAATCTCACTACATAGCCCTGGCAGGCCCAGACCTGGCTATGTAGATCAGGTTGGCTTTGAACTCACAGATCTCCCTGCTTCCCAAGTCCCGTTATTAATGGTCTGCGCTGTCATGTGCAGCCCAGAATATATTTTTAATGATTTCACTACCATATTTTTAATTGTAGGTTGGTTTACCCCAAATGTATGCATAAATTACTAACATTATTCTAGAAATCTATGTGCATGTATGCTATACCAGATTATGTTCCACGCCATTATACTGCACATACTAATCTATGTAAGCTCAAGCTGAAGCTGAAGCTAGACCTCGTCAACACTTGAGTTCCTGCAGCTAGACCATATCCGTTCATTACACTGATAATCCATTTCAAGGGCCAATTGGCTGAGGCTATAATTCCTCCCTTCCTTATTACTGTTTTAACATGAGGAAGGAGGGTTACTTCTTTTTTAGGGGTTGCTATTTGCATTTTAAAGCCCAGTATTTGCATTCTTCCCCTCTGCTTGCCTTCATTCATCACTAAAGGCGCGTGGGCCTCTGCCAATGCTGCCCGCACCTGCCTTGCAGCTCTAGCATGGTGAAGCCCGTCATTTCTTTCCCCTTGGTCCTTGTGTGTGATAACCCTCGTCTACACCTTGGCGATTAATGCCCTTTCCATTGTGTAAACAGAGCAAAAATGCTGTTGTCGGAAAAACAGCAACTGCAATTTAATAACACACCCAAGAGCTCTTTCTAGACTTCAGTTTTAAAGCAGAACTGTATTCACCTTCACTGTGACGACAGATTCTTAGGCAGCAGAGTTCGAGGAGGAATCATGGCAGAATGGTAAGGATCAGTAAAACTGCTCACCTCATATGGGGGGGGGGGGGCAGAGAGACAGGAAAGGACCAAGGTGGGATGGAACCATTTTTCTGAACATCAGCCACATACCTGCGGGAATGTAACAGAGGAGGGGGAACGGACTGCTCAGAGCTTCGAGGATGATAAAATGGTCTGAAACGGACTGTGGTGATAGCTGGTATCTCCGAATACACTAAAAATCAGTAAGATGTATGCTTTAAGGTAAAAAGTGGGGGCTGGGATGTAGCTTAGTGGCAGAGTACTTGGCTAGTGTGCACAAGGGCCTGGGTCTGTTCCCTTAGTACCACAAAAGAAAAAAAAATTCATGTCAGTAATGCTAGCACGGGAACAGAGTCCATCAGCGCGACTTCCTACTCCCCATGCAGGAAGTCCCTCTAAAGAGCGGAGTCCATCAGCGCCACTTCCTACTCCCCGTGCCGGAAGTCCCTCTAAAGGGAACACAGGAAAGCTACGCATTATGCAGGCAGAGGATCCGAGCGCTTGCTCCCATGCAGTTAGTGTATCTGACAGCTTTGGTGTTTTTCATATGCTGATCCTTACTTTATCCGGACCCAGAGCACATTACTGCATAAAGTGAAAATGTCCCACATTTAGAAAAAAATAGATTCTTCTCAGCAATATGAAAAAAACAAGTTATACAAGACTGACCCATGCATACAGCTGGGCCTGTAAGAAAGTGCCAGATGTAACTGGCATGTTAATTAAAAACTGGCACTAAAACATCACAGCACATGGCACCCACAACAAGCATGGCTTTCGTCTGTAAGTTCTACTCTGGTATCTCCAAATGGCAATTTCATGGTATGCTGACCTGCCTGTTAGGGCTCTTGGACAAGCTGGGACAGTTCTCATTCAGGGGGACAGGCACTCTGGCCAGAGCAGCTGTCCCTAGGTCCCAAGCCCCACAATGGAGTTTCTTTTAAAGCAGAGGAACTCAATTTAACGCTTCCCCTGTGGCGTCCAGGTCTATGTGAGACTTCCCAGTGTTGCGTGAAGAGCTGCGTTCTGCACCACACCTGCAGGCCAGGCTGCCACCGTGACTGCACAGAGCTTAACAAGAGGAGAATGCCACGTTTCTTATACTGAATTCACACAAAGGATGGAAGACGACGACTGTCAGTTTTTAAGGTCTCTAGCTAAAGTTTCACAGATGAACTGTAGTGTTCGCTGATACAAAAAAGCATCCTTTGTCTTGGGCTTGCAAATGTCCAGGTGGTTGACATCCACGGGAATGAGATCCCCGATGCCTAAATCTGAAGAAGAAAAAGTGTCAGCAGAGCAAAGGGCAGCCAAGCTGGCCTGAGCGGGCGGAGCCTGGACTCGCGTGTGAAAATGGGTGCCCAGGAAGTGTAAGTCAGCCTGTACTTTTCCAGTTCCCGTGTGTGTTGAGTACAGCCTGAGCACCGGCTCTTCTAAGAATGGGAAATGCCACACGTGGAACCCATGCTGGACCCAAATCCCCAGTGTCCTTCCCAGATTGTGTGTGTGGGGGGGGTGTTCAGGGGGGAGAGTAGGGAACAAGATTTGACTGAGGGACTGGAAAGGGCATCTGCTACTTTGGTCTGACAAGTTCACCTGGATGCAGGTAACGAGAGATATCACTGAGCCACCACCGAGTGGAGGGGATGTAACACGGGGACAGTCGGGATGACGGGGACAGCGCCATGGTGCTGTGGGCAGCTACTCGGGAGAGGGCTCGGCTGCGGCTTGAAGTCTGAGGTTGTTTTGGACATCTGTCAGCCATGCTTGCAAATTCTCAAGTAGCAGCATTGCAATACCTCAGCCTACGACCTGGGAACCCGCTCTACAGTTTCTGTAGGATCTGTGGGGAACCTTCGATTTTGTGTGGTGTATATTGAGACAGAGAGGCAGCTCATTAGCGCTGTCCCTGGCCGCTAAGGGCTACCAGGATAGAACCTAAGCCAGCCTCAGGAAGGAGTTGCAAGAGATGATACTCAAGCTGAGGAGACATGGTCAAGGGAGCCACTTCAGACAGTGGGATGTTTGGGTGACTACAGTGTCTCGTCGGCAGGCTCTGAGGAGAGCCTCGAAGTAGAGTCTACGCTATAGCAGCAGGCGTGGGCCATTCCCAACACCCCTTACCCGTAGGTTAACACTGGTGTTTTCTTTTAAATTATTTCCTGCTTGAATATTCCCGTGCATCTTCCACTTACCAAATCTGACTAAAGCGTTTACATTTACTGCAGGGTTCTTTAAGGTTTCTCTGCAGCTATCAATTCACGGAACACGTCCCTCTTTGAGTCTAGCTTACAGAAGGACGTGGTAGTCTCTTTAATGCTGGTGCCGCTGTTGGCGCCTACGCCTTAGAGCTGCAACTGGCTGTTATGTGTGCTTGTAGCACAATTTGCATCGTTGCTGAAAAGTATTTGGATTCTGGATTGTTATTTAACTTTCTCCTTTTCCAAGACACTGGGTGTAAAAACTGACGTCTACTAAGTGCGGGTCCCATCAGCTAGGCCTGACGACCACATGTCTCAAGAGAGAGTACCTGCTGACTCCACGGGCACTATATGTAGCTTGATCATGCTGCCGATAAAGGTTGGTTGTGTTTCCACAAAGTTCAGCACCTGGAAGTTCTTGTCTTTCGCAAACTCCACAAAGTCATCCTGCAGTGTCTTGAGTGCAGGAGAATCTGTAAAGCGCAGAGGAAGATGGAGACGGTCCCCATCACGAAGTGCCGGGCACATTCATTCGTCTTTAACACAGCGGACTCCAGGTAAAGCGTTTGCCACACAAGCCTGAGGCAGTGGCTGCTCTTGGTGGTCAACTTGATTACACCTGGAATTAACTAAAACCCCAACCTCTGTGGAGATTGATAGTTAACTGGACCATTTAAGCTAGGAAGAGCCCCCTTAGACACAGATCACGTGAGGTGCTGTCTTTAATCGGGGCAAAACCCCCAGAGGCAGCCTGAAGGACACGGAGGAAGCAGCTTTGGCCCTCGCTGCGCTCTATTAGCATTGCTTCAAGGTTCCCACATACAAGACCAGCTGAGACATCCAGCCTCGTGGACTCAACAACTGAGGTCTCGGACTGTCCATTAGGAGTCAGCCATTGTTGGACCAGGTAGCCTGTTAGCTATTCTAATCCATCAGTTCTGATCCTCTAGAGAACTCTGACACACACCAGGACTTGTTTGAATCCCTAGAACCTGTATGGAAAGCCAGGTGTGGCTACACAACTGTAATCCTAGCTCAGCAGGGCTGGGGAACTACCGGAGGCTCGGTGAGGTCTGCTGGCCAGTAAGAGACCCTGTCTCAAAAAAATAAGGGTGATGACAACTGGCAATGACCTAAACACACAGAAATGCACAGACGTCAGAAGTTTGACTAATCTGCCTCTGTGAACACAGGAACCGTACAGAGCACTAGAGTATCTGGAATGATAAGTTCATGGAGTCACAGTACAAGAAGACACGAATAAACAAAAGTCACCAAACAAAGAAAAAAATAAGGCTGGGCCGTAAGAACACAAAAGCTGAAGACCAGAGCCCAGATGGCTGCAGAGGCAACCCGTGAGCGCCTGGCCACAGAGGAAGGGAGCACGTGAGCCCTAGAGAGGGCCATCGGGCCTACAGCTCTGCACAGCTGCTTACCACGACTTCTAGTCATCCTGTGGGATCTAGGAAAGATCTCTTTTGGGTGTCCACCCTCAAGTCTATGTTTAGTAGACTCCAGCGTTACCTCGGCTCACTCCTTAGGGCCTTCATGAAACTGGAAGGGATGAATACCACCCTAAATGCATAGGCAGCCACAAAGGACGCACTACTAAAGGCTGCATAACACCATGACGGAAAGCAAGAATCCTCCAGAAATGGAGTCGAAGAAATAGCTACAAAGGAATTTAACAAATGTTGAGCCTAAGGAAACTTAGAAGAGAGTAAAGATTACCCATGGCTGGAAAGATGGGTCAGGAGGTGGTAACACATGCTGTCCCTATGGAGGACCCGAATTTGGTTCCCAGAGCCCATCCTGTAACCCCAGCTCCAGGGGACCCAGCCTCTGGCTTCTCAAGGCACTTGCACGTATGTCTATGTGGACACACAGACATACACACAATTTAAAAGGAAAACTATTTTTAAAAACCAATCAGAACTTGAAACTCAAAATTTTAGAATGAGAAAGAAAAACCAAAGCACTGCTTTAGAAGAGGCTGCCTCAAAAGTGTATGTATATTTTGGCAGCTGATGGTTTTTCAAATTCATGGAAAAGACAGTATACTAGTTGGTCTGTTTGAAAACAAAAAATAGAGGTATCAAAAACCAGATGGACGTTAAGGAAGAAACTGATCATTTTCTCCCTCTTTTCCATATGCTTAATGTTCTACAGCCTCAATCCCCTCCCAGCAGAGAGACTCACCCTTGCTGAGTTCTTTGACTTCCAAAGAAGGAAAGAGAAGATACCGAATGTTAACTGAATATTCAGCCAAACGAGATCCGTGGTGCGGAACGCTGTAAAAAATCATTCCTCTGGTGTTGTTTATAATGGCGCTCAGTTCTGGCTTCCTGGAGGCCTCCAACAGCATCTTTTTGACAAGAAGACCTAGCCACGGAGAAGGAGTGAGTGAGTGGTTTCCTTCCCTCGGTTACAACACAAGCCAACAAGACAGATGTCTCAAATTTCAATAACTTCCCTCCTTGCATAAGAACCCTTGAATATGACGACACTTCCCTAATCCTGAATTATGAACATGAGTCTACAAACAGTCCGCAGACTGCTTTGTGCTGCAGACCCTTCTCTCAGATCCCACTAACCCTGTGAGGAAAGTCAGGCCCTGCCTCAGCAGGCTGCTGAAGCCCGCACCTGCGAGGGTACTGAAGCACCAAGTTACAGGCCCCGCCAGGGAAAATGAGCTGTTGTGAGAAAGACACCCACGAGCACCTACCCAGGTTCCCTAAGAGGGGATGCACAGACACCGGCACACCGGTGACTGGACTTCTGAGGCTCAGCCTAGGTCACACTTCTCAGACACACTACCCTGGCGCTAGGCATGTGGAGGAAGCGGAGCTGGTTTGGGGGAGGGCAGGGGAAGTAGGGAATGAAGAAGTGAGGGCAGACCCCCCCCCAGCACAGCAGCCAGCCACAGCAAAACCATGAGCTCACCCCCCCAGCAGCACAGGGGCCTGCACAGGACACACACATGCCACAGCAGAGGCAGCAGTGTGGGAGAGGCATGCACGGAAAGAAAGGGAAGCCTCTGGGAACGCTGGCTTAACTGAGTCTAACTGGTCAACAGCCCACAGTGTGAGGCTGACTCCTAATGACCACATGGAAACGCCAAGTTATCAATCCATGCCCTCCCACAGTTTACTAATGTCCCCTTCTAGAAAAAGAGCATGGAAGGAGAGTAGCTAAAACATTAACTTGGGGTGGGGAGACTAGTTAAGACAGACAGACAGATGCAGAGCTTTCAGTTGGCCGTAACCTTGACAACCACCTCATGATGGTCACTCTAGGAAGATGAAACCATCCTTACCTCCCATGCTATGTGATATCCAAATCACTGGCCTATCCCCAACACCAGCAGCTCTGAGCTTGCTGAGAAGTTCGTTGCTTCTGAATGCAATGGACTTTCTGAACAAAACGAAAACAGCAAGCATGACGGGAGGCACCCATCCCCCAACTCTTGCTACCTCAGTTCAGAAGACAAGAACGTTTGCTTGTTCCACGCTACTGGCTCTGCCAATGTCATTCTCTATCTGAAACTTACTAACACTCACACAGCTGCAGACTATCTAAACCCATAACAGGCCACTCATAGTAAGTGCACATTATTTGAGTATCACATGGATCTGGCAATTTTTACAGGGTGAAGAAGTTGCCCTGAGCACTTAGGTAGGGGTGTGTGTGTGTGTAGGGGGGGGGGTATCCCTTTTCATCTTGACAGTAAAAACATCCCAGAGACTTGACTGGAGTTTAAATATTAGGAAATGATTATCAGAGTTCACACCAAAAGGTTTCCCAGTGCCGCTCTGGGGGCGCCCTTCTGGGGCACCCGCGTGGGATGTGCTCATCAGCACTATGCTGTGTCACTATCTAGACCAGCCCTGTGAGACACTGGCAGGCACTGCCGCTTAGGACATAAAAGGGACAGGCCTGAAAACAGCATCTTCCCCTGTGCCGCCCTCGGCCCAGCCAGGAGGACTGTAAATACACAGCCCTACCAGTTTTCCTTGCAGGAGAAGTGGATCCATGCTCCTTTCTTATTACAGAGCCGTATCAGGAGCTCAAGTCATGGGTAGCTAAGTGTCTACTACTAATTTCTTACTATAAGCTAGAGCCTTCTAGAAGGAAGACAATAGTGGCGGATTGAAGCTCGATCCACAACACTCGAGAAATAAACCCTGCCTGTGAGTTAAAAACTATAAAAAGCCCCCCGCCCCCCGTGGCAGAAGATCCGCTGTGGCGTGAGTCCTTCCCTTCCTCCCATCCAATGTATCCTCCAGTGTCACCTTTCCATGGGGCACCTTGCTCGCCAGTCACTGAGGCTGGTGTCATACTCCACGGATATAATGCGAAGCGCTGGGCAGTCTTTTGCTAGCCATGTCTAGGTAAAACAGAAGGCTCATGAGCATATGCATGCACCTCCCCATACACATGCACCTCCCAAGACACTCCCTAGGAACCGCCCTTTGTAACCAAAGGCCTCCTGTAATAGACACTACAGAGGAGCTGGAACATACTGGAGGTGGGGGCTGATCAAAATAAGCATTTTATCTTTCTACAGCTCTGGTCACAAAACGCAATCAATATTTGTAACAAAGGCAAATGAAGGTAGGAGAACATTGTCAATTTTAGTCTGCAACTGCCAAAAATCAAGACTTGTTTTGGAGGCTTTTTATCACTTAGTAGAAAGCTATTATCTCAGAAGAGACTGTTATTTTCTGCTGGGATACACTGGTCTGACAACTGGGAGCTGGAGGCTGGCATCTCCAGACTTCAGAGCAGCAATGGAGAGAAAAGCATGCTGTTCTTAAGTGGGAGGGAGCAAAGCCTTACACAATTCACACACACACACACACACACACACACCCGTATAGACTTCAAACAAATTGCGTCTCATGAATTCATTCTGGAGTTGTGGCTCTTTGGAGGAGAAAATATCAAAGAGCTACATCATCCAAGCTTTTCTACCTTTATAATTATTAAGGTAATAATTTAATAGTATTAAGGTCATAAACATGGCTAGTACAGGGAAATTATGGCTGTATTCTCATTTAAATTATGAATCAAAGTGAGTGATTACACTCTCGATCCCAATTTATCACTCATGGAGCTTATTCCAGAGTCACAGAAGGTACCCACAAGGCAGGGTCGAAGCCCAGCTGATGATGGAATGGCCTACAGGTGTCTCCACGGCAAAGAAGAGCGGCCAGAGAAATCGAAGCGGCACATGCCTTCACATGGGGGCTAGAGCCCGGGAGATGGGTGACAGTCGCAGCTGCGGCTCCTTACCTGGGGCCAGCATGTAGTGTACCTGTTCTCATCCACCACGTCATTTTCCATCACAACCCGCTCACTGTCGTGCTGCCGCCAGGTTTTAAATGCTGCCCCCATAAGGCCATGGATAAAAAGGACATCGGCTTTAATGGGCTGACTGGGGGAAGAGTCGTGAAGAGAAGCAGAATGAATGTATTACTACTGGGGCGAGACCAACCGTAGGGACTCTAATCAACTCCACGCTCCACTGCGGGGCCGTGCCACCGCGAGGTAACCCTCCAGGTAAGTCTATGAAAACATGGCAAAGTCACTGCATACAAGAAATGTGAGGGGCACCTCCCTAGCATGTGCAGGGGCCTCATGGAAAACCGAAGACAGCGCACCCATTCCAGGGTTGGAAGGAAACTCGCTGACTCTGCCGGGAAGACGGCCATGAGGGTGGCGTCCCGGTACCCTGACCCCCTCAGCTTCACAGCTGGCAGGACAAACGTGAGCTTCTGCTGCAAGCCTGTGTAAATCAAGTCCCACCAGCTAGCATAGAAGGTACCATGTTCAGGGAGGAGGGGAAGACTAAAACAGGAAGCAGACATGCAAGGAAAGGGAAAATGTTTCTATAAAACTATCACTTTGTACTCCAGCTGGCGTAACGTTTAGCAATTACATCAATTCAAAAAAATGGGAGCCATTTGGCATTCTGAGGTGGTGTGCATGTGTACACTAAAAGTCTATGCAGAGGTAAAAGTAAGTAAAATTCAAACACAGCTCCTGGTTACCCCTCAACCTTTAAAACTATCGACCTCACTGACCATGTCTTTCAAGTATAAAAACACTGAACAGGAACCAAACTCAACTCCCCCTTACACCACTAGGGGGCCCATCTTTGGCTTTCCTTTTTCTGCCTCTCTGGCAGAGTTTTTTGTTGTTGTTGGTTTGGTTTTTTTTTTGTTTCCAAAGTGTAAGGAAAAAAAAACTTAATGATTTGGTTTTATTCAAATGCCTCCAAAAAGGACCTAATGTTGCCACTAACAAAAAGAT